CTTGTTTAATCACAGGACTAATGTTAAGCAATAGCATCATGAGGAAGCAAGAGTTGCTTCCCAGTCTCAGCTAAAGGAGGCAAATTGGCACCAGTTCCTGCAAAAGCATCCACGAAAAGCCTGGACCCAAAGGGTGAGCAGCAGCAAGATTTATTGTAAAGAGAGAAAGAACAAACCCTCCATGGTAAGGAAGGAGACCTGACAGGCTCCTCACTGCTGGCTCGGGCAGCCTGCTTTTATTCCTTTATCTGGTCCCACCCACATCCTGCTGACTGGTCCATTTTACAGAGAGTTGATTGGTCCGTTTTGACAGAGTGCTGATTGGTGCATTTACAATCCTGAGCTAATATATTAGCCAAGGCTGGAGCTATTATCTACATGAATATGGGAAAGAAGTGCCAGGCACCTGCACACCTCAGCCCTTGGGTGGTGGATGGGACCAGGCACCACGAAGCAGGGGGCGGTGCCCATCAGGGAGGCTTGGGGGGCTGCCTGGGAGCCCATGGAGTACTGGCGGTTGGGGCATAGTGGACTGCAGGTCTTGAACCCTGCCCTGCGGGGAGGTGGCTGAGGCCCTGTGAGAATTCCAGCACTGCTGCAGGCTGGCTGGCCGTGTTAGGGGGACCTGGTGCACCCTCCACAGCTGCTGGCCTGGGTGCTAAGCCCCTCACTGACCAGGGCCAGCAGCGCCAGCCAGCCACCCTGAGTGAGGGGCCCACCAAGCCCTCGCCCACCCAGAATTCATGCTGGCCCATGAGTGCCCCGGCAGCCCCAGTTGCCACCTGCACCTCTCACTCCACACCTCCCGGCAAGCAGAGAGAGCGGGTTCCAGCCTCAGCCAGCCCAGATAGGGGCTCCCACAGTGCAGCCTCCGGCTGAAAGGCTCCTCAGGTGCAGTCAGAGTGGGCACAGAGGCGGATGAGGTGCTGAGAGTGAGCAGGGCTGTGAGGGTTGCCAGCAGCCTGTCACATCTCACTAGGTGTTGCTCAGAAGAATGTATATTCTTTTGATTTGGAGTGGAGAGTTCTGTAGATGTCTATTAGGTCTGCCTGGTCAAGAGCTGAGTTGAAGTCCTCAATATCCTTGTTAATTTTCTGTCTCATTGATCTGTCTAATATTGATAGTGGGGTGTTAAATTCTCCCACTATTATTGTGTGGGACTCTAAGTCTCTTTGTAGGTCTCTAAGAACTTGTTTTATGAATCTGGGTGCTCCTATATTGGGTGCATATAAATTTAGGATAGTTAGCTCTTCTTGTTGCATTGATCTCTTTACCATTAAGTAATGCCCTTCTTTGTCTCTTTTGATCTTTGTTGGCTTGAAGTCTGTTTTATCAGAGACTAGGATTGCAACCATGTTTTTTTTTTTCTTTCTATTTGCTTGGTAAATATTCCTGTATCCCTTTATTTTGAGCCTATGTGTGTCTTTGCACATGAGATAGGTCTCCTGAATACAGAGCATTGATGGATCTGGACTCTTAATCCAGTTTGCCAGTCTGTGTCTTCTAATTAGGGCATTTAGCCTATATACATTTAAGGTTAATATTGTTATGTTTGAATTTGATCCTGTCATCATGATACTAGCTGGTTATTTTGCACATTAGTTGATGCAGTCTCTTCATAGTGTCATTGGTCTTTATATTTTGGTGTGTTTTTGCAGTGGCTGGTAGCAGTTTTTCATTTACATATTTAGTGCTTCCTCCAGAAGCTCTTGTAAGGCAGGCCTGATGGGGACAAAATCTCTCAGCCTTTGCTTGTCTGTAAAGGATTCTATTTCTCCTTCTTCTATGAAGCTTAGTTTGGCTGGATATGAAATTCTGAGTTGAAAATCCTTTTCTTTAAGAATGTTGGATATTGGCCCCCACTCTCTTCTGGCTTGTAGGATTTTTGCGGAGAGATCTACTATTAGTCTGATTGGCTTCCCTTTGTAGATAACCTGACCTTTCTCTCTGGATGCCTTTAACATCTTTTCCTTCATTTCAACCTTGGAGAATCTGAAGATTATGTGTCTTGGGATTGCTCTTCTCAAGGAGTATCTTAGTGGTGTTCTCTGTATTTCCTGAATTTGAATGTTGATTTGTCTTGCTAGGTTGGGGAAGTTCTCCTGGATAATACTCTGAAGTGTGTTTTCCAACTTGGTTCCATTCTCTCTGTCACTTTCAGTTACCCCAATCAATCTTAGGTTTGGTCTTTTCACATAGTCTCATATTTCATGGAAGGATTGTTCATTTTCATTCTCTTTTCTCTTGTCTTCACGCCTTATCTCAGTAAGTTGATCTTCAATCTCTGATATCCTTTCTTCTGCTTGACTGATTCAGCTATTGATACTTGTGTATGCTTCACTAAGTTATCATGCTGTGTTTTTCAGCTCCATCAGGTCATTTATGTTCTTCTCTAAACTGGTTATTTTAGTTAGCAGTTCCTGTAACCTTTTATTAAGGTTCTTAGCTTCCTTGCATTGGGTTAGAACATGCTCCTTTAGCTCAGAGGAGTTTGTTATTACCCACCTTTTGAAGCCTACTTCTGTCAATTCATCACACTTATTCTCCATATAGTTTTGTGCCCTTGCTGGAGAGGAGTTGCGATCATTTGGAAGAGAAGAGGCATTCTGGTTTTTGGAATTTTCAGCATATTTGCACTGATTTTTCCTCATCTTTGTGAGTTTATCTACTTAACTTTTGAGGCTGATGACCTTTGGATGGGGGTTTTGTGTTGGGGTCGTTTTAGTTGATATTAATGTTAATGCTGTCTGTTTGTTAGTTTTTCTTCTAACAGTCAGACCCCTCTTCTGCAGGTCTGCTGAAGTTTGCTGAGGGTCCAACAGTGGAGGCTGCAGGACAGCAAAGATTGCTCCGTGTTCCTTCCTCTGGAAGCTTCCTCCCAGAGGGGCACTGGCCTGATGCCAGCCAGAGCTCTCCTGTATGAGGTGTCTGTCAACCTGTGTTTGAAAGTCTCTCCCAGTCAGGAGACGTGGGGGTCAAGTACCCACTTGAGTAGGCAGTCTGTCCCTTAGCAGAGCTCAAGTACTGTGCTGGGTGAATCCTCCTTGTCAAGGTCCATTGCTCCCTTCATAGCCAGCAAGCAGGAACATTTAAGTCAGCTGGAGCTGCACCCACAGCTGCCCCTTCCCCCAGATGCTCTGTCCCAGTGAAATGGGATTTTTATCTATAAGCCCTGACTGGGGCTGCTGCCTTTCTTTCAGAGATGCCCTGCCCAGTGAGGAGGAATCTAGAGAGGCAGTCTGGCCACAGCATCTTTGCTGGGCTGTGGTAAGTTCTGCCCAGTCCCAACTTCCCAGCCTCCTTAGCACTGTCAGGGGAAAATCACCTGCTCAAGCCTCAGTAATGGCAGATACTCCTCCCCACACCAAACTCTATCATCCCAGGTTGACTTCAGACTGCTGTGCTGGCAGCAAGAATTGCAAGCCAGTCGTTCTTAGTTTGCTGGACTTCGTGAGAGTGGGACCCACTGAGCAAGACCACTTGGCTCCCTGGCTTCGGCACACTTTCCAGGGGAGTGAACGGTTCTGTCTTGCTGGCATTCCAGGTGGCACTGGGGTATAAACATAAAATAAAACTCCTGCAGTTAGCTTAGTGTCTGCCCAAACAGCTGCCCAGTTTTGTGCTTGAAACTCAAAGCCCTGGTGCTGTAGGCACACGATGGAATCCCCTGGTCTGTGGATTGTAAAAACCATATGAAAAGTGTAGTATCTGGGCTGAATAACACAGTCCCTCAGCTTCCCTTGGCTGCAGGAGAGAGGCCCCTGGCTCCTGCTTCTTTCTGCTAGCCCTCTGTGGGCTGCACCCACTGCCTAACCAGCCCCATGAGATGAACAGGGTATCTCAGTTGGAAATGCAGAAATCACCCACCTTCTATGTTGGTCTTGCTGGAAGCTGCAAACTGGATCTGTTCCTATTCAGCCATCTTGCCAGGTCCTCCGAAATGCAACACTCTTTATGTCTTTCTTTTTATATTCATCATCATGGGTGCAAGTCTGTTTAATTAGATTACCAGCTTTGTTTTAATGTCAATCAAGTCTTATATTTCTATTTTGCTGAATTACTAATGCTCTCTTAAGCTCTCAATGCATGTCTAAGTCTTTTTTACTTTTCAAATCCATTGTAAAATATATAAAATGTAAAAAATGATAAGAAACTAAGATGAATAACACTATAAACTCTCTTCATTGAAAGTTGAAAATCTATTAGTAATCATACAGAGTCACTGGTGGTAGTTTTCAAAGCCACGTTTATTGGAAAGTCTCTGAGACCACTGAGGGTTTCAAAATGTTATTTGGGAGTCAGAATTCAGTTAGAAGAGATTAAACTGTCTGTAAGAATCTACATGCCAAAGCCACAGTCAGCCACAATTCACCAAATACTTGAATCAATGAGCTTCTGATGAATGATAATGAGAATACTGGATGAAGAACCATCCCATCTAAATCAAATAGCAAACTCTACTCTCAGCTTCACACACATATCAAATGATATGTTTCTATTCAATTCCAAGATACAACTAAACATTCACATCTTAGTTCTGTCGTCTTTACTGGATCATGATAAAGATAATAGATTTTCCAGTGCAGTTTTGTAATAGCATGGAGCACAAGCACAAGACCTGTCTTTATTAGACACAGAGGATTCGTTCACCCAGTTTTATCTGAAGCAATGGAAAGATAGCAATGCCTTATGACAATGCCGTTTAACTTATTAGAGCTGACTCATGGCAGCTGTCCTCGCTCCAGGCCAGTTAGGTGGGTCAGACACTCAGGACCTGAGAACAAAGTCAAGGGGTGATGAAATCTCAGGCATTTTTTTAGGTGCTAAAGTTGGAGTTTCTACACTGGAAGCAATGGATGGTCCTAATAATACATTTTATCTTAAGTATTAGTAAGAAGAAAAGACAAAAGCAGAAACAAAAGTTTACATTAAAATCAAACTATTTTTGAAGTCCAAGTAGCTCCAGAGGAAAGAGCTGAGGTAAGATAATGGGGGTAGAAGGTTTCCTAGAGGCCGCTGGTCACCTTAAAACAATGCTTCACTCTGACAACACTTCAGGGGCTGTGGGGTCCACAGTCCTGCCTAACTTTTTAGACCCACACACCTGAATTCTAGGTGTGATTTTAGAATTTACACCCTGAGTGTTGTACATACAAAAGGAAAACATTTGATATGGCTATGAGTTGAAAACACAAGGAACACTTTTCTCCTCCTAGGGACCTGTGTTTCTCTGCCAACTCAGCACTGTCACCACCGTGGAGTCAGACCTAGAGATCCCGTGTCTCAGAGGCTGGTGGGTCACACCTACTGCAATCCCCCCATCACCCAGTCTCAGGGCACCAGCACTCCCAGCTTATCCATGCACACGTTCTGCTGGGGTAGAAGAAACAAGTCTATTTACCTCCCAGTCCAGAAACTTGCTCATCAGACTCCACTAAAACTCAGTCTCCAAGGACCAGAACTTCAGAAGACGTAAGTTAATTTCTGAAGAAAGGGAAAAGCTTCCTGAGGGCTGCTTTGACCTCCTTGTTTCTCAGAGTATAGATGAGGGGGTTGAGGGTAGGGCTCAGCACAGTGTACAGCAGGTCAGCCAACTTGCTCTTCCCCGCGCTGTAGCCGGAGACCGGGCTTATGTAGGCATAGAAGACAGCGGTGTAATACATACACACCACGGTGAGGTGGGAAGAGCAGGTGGAGAAGGCTTTCTGCCTCCCCGCTGCAGTCTGCACCTTCAAGACGCTGGAGATGATGAAGCCATAGGACGCGATGGTCATCAGGAAGTTCACTATGCCATAGAAAGCGTCTGCCAGGACAATCATGACACTGTTGACGTAGGTGGAGCTGCAGGAGAGAAGCAGCAGTGGAGGCACCTCGCAGAAGAAATGGGTAATGACATTGGGGCCACAGAAATCCAAGCGCAGCATCAGCCCCATGTGGATGGCTGTGTTGACAGCGCAGAGCAGCCACACGGCTGCGGCCAGCCCGCTGCAGAACGCCTTGCCCATCATGCTGCTGTAATGCAGCGGGTGGCAGATGGCTGCGTACCGGTCATAGGCCATGACTGTGAGGAGGAGCAGCTCTGAGGATGCAGCCCACGTGAGGAAATAGAGCTGGGCCATGCAGCCCGCATAAGAGATGGTGCTCTCCTCCGACACCAGACCCGCCAGCGCCTTGGGCATGATGGAAGAGGTGCAGATAATGTCCATAGTAGCCAAATTGAACAGGTAAAAGTACATAGGGGTGTGGATCCCAGGGTTGAAGGCGATGGCCAAGATGATGAGGACATTACCTGTGAGGGCTCCAGTGTAGAGGAAGAGGAAACAGCTGAATAAGAGCACCCGGTATTCTGGGTGCTCTGAAAAGCCCTGCAGGATGAATTCGATTACCAATGTCTGGTTACTCATGGTCCTTGGGCTGGGAGGGGTTTCTGGGACTATCAGGTGAATCTCCATCCACAGCTTCATGTGATTTTAGAGCTAGAGAGATAAACAAGAGGTGTCCTGGGCAGAGCTGCTCCTGTGTTTCTTCCACACCTCACATCACGTCATGAATGATAGAGATGCATTAGGGCATGTTTATTAGGATAAACACCCCAATATTACAATGGAAAAAAGGCATGAACACTCAGGTTATAAAAAATAAATACAGTTGACTAGTTAAACTCATGAAGCATCATTCAACCTCAAAGAAATGCAAATTAAATCCATAATCCACTCTTGATCATCCATGATTTGGCAAAGTTAAAAAAGCATGATATTGACTAGTATTAGAATGGCTGCAAAGACTCAGGCCTTTTAAAATATGTATTCCATTTGAGCCAGAACTTTCTCTTCCAGAAATGTATCCTAAGGAAATAATAGAAAGCATCCTAAAGGTGTCAGAGCAGCACTATTATTATAGTGGAAATTTAGAACAATCTATACCCTTAAATGTGAGTATATTATGGTATATTGATATAACATAAATGCTATGCAATTATCAAAATAATGCTTTGGAAGTGTTTTACTGATGCTTTTAAAAAGAGAATGACATGTTGGGAGGCCAAGGCAGGCAGATTGCTTGAAACCAGGAATTCAAGATCAGCCTGTCCAAAATGGCGAAACCCTTCCTCTACTAAAAATACAAAAACTAACCTGACATGGTGGTGGTGGATGTCTGTAATTTCAGCTACTTGGAAGACTGGGGCAAGAGAATCCCTTGAACCTGGAAGGCAAGATTTTGGTGAGCTGAGACCACAATGCTGCACTCTAGCCTGGGTGACAAAGTGAGACTCTGTCTCAAGAAAAATTGTTTTAATTAAAAAAGAGAGACAATGAAAAAAATACTAAAATAATGTGTACAATCGGATCTCATTTTTTTAAAAAATTTGAAAAGCAGATTTGTTTCCATTGAAATTGAGGATAGTGAAAATTTTTAAATGAAAAAATAAAATAAAATGTAAAAGCACGTTTGTATATGCACCTGTAGGAATACACTGGTGAGTGCTAGACCAGAGCTTGAACAGTGATTGTTTTCACTTTTTTGATTTTTGCTTGTCTGTATTTTCTACTTTTTCTAAAAATGACCTCTCTAAAAGGCAGATGTGTTACACAGAATCCCCCTTACAACAGTTCTTCCACGGCTTCCCATTGCCAAAAGAATAAATGCTCCCAGCAACTTTTCCTGGATCCACCTCCTCTCCAGCCTTTCTTCCCACTCATCTTAAAGCCAGAACTCCAGCCATGCCCTGCACTCACAGACTGGCTGACGCACCAAGTCATTCCAGGATTTATTGAGGACGATTTCTAATCCAACTTCTTGCCACTCCCTGAGCCAGGAATGCCCTTTTTCTCATGAACCAGGGCCATCGTCAGTCCCCTCTTTCTGAGCATCCCTTCCCTGGGGAGAAAGGACCACTCTTTCCTTTGTGTTCCCTCTAATACTGACTTCTATCCTAGTATCCAATACACGTCACTCCTTGATCAGGTTACTCACCTGTGTCCTATAAGGTTAACACGTATGCCCATTTATCTCTGGACATCCCTTCTTGACACCCAGCCCCCTGCCTATCAGGCAGTGGGTAGACACTCAAATATGTGTGTTTAAATAATGCTAAAGAACAGGCTAGTATGAATAACAGCAGGATGACTTATATTCTTAAGATACTACATATTCTGTACAGCTCAAGATAAAATCAGCATAGTGTACATTTTGTTTTTCCTTTTTCATTATTTATTCATTAAAAGTTAAGGAAGATGTTCATTTTTAAAATGAGCATTTGGAAGATGTCCATTTTAAATATGTTCATTTTAATTCTGTTTTTGTCAAAATTCAAGAAATGTATTTACCACTAAAATATTAAAAGGTTTATACAAAATGACCAAACATCATCTCCAGCTCAGGTCATATCACCTTTTAGTAAGGTAAAGATGGTTTTTTGAATAGACAAGCATAAAATCCCTATGACTCGGAGCAACAAGGCTATATTAGTGTGGGGTATGATCAGAATCAATGGAAATGATGGTGTTTCATCTATGTATCTTCCCAGCAACAAGGTGTCAGAACAACTCAATAATTTGAGTGGAAGTCACAAATACAATATGCTTTAGCTGATTTCATTATTGTTTGGGACAAAAAGAGTGAATAATTACTTTTGCTCAGTATGAGTTGTGGATCTGAAGAAATAACTGTAACTTTATTTGCTCTTATGATGGCCCAGTGAGTGACTCCTCTTTAACTCCAGGGACAGAATTGGATTTTCTCCATCAATGTCCCAGTGTGAGGTTTCTGCACTTCCCACTGATGTCTTCCTCCCTAGAATTCTAGCCACGAGATTTCTCCAGCCATCACGAGATCGTGGTGCACTCCACAGTGCACATTACAAATGCACCAGAGTCAGCACAGCTGCAGCTGTACCTGGGAGATGGCAAACACATCCATCACCGAACACCTACCAAGCAGCAGTGTGCAGGGTCTGTCACGTATCCTTCCTAGAACAAGAAAACCTGTTACAAAGGAAACCTTAAACACAATATCTCTCTTAACTCAGCTCCACAGTGGGATTAGGAAAAAAACAACACTGCAGTACAAATGGATGTTTTGAACAGGTGCAGAGCACAAGGAAATTTCAACAAACATATTCACATTCAGGGAATAAATTAGCCCTCGGGTACTTACCCACTCACTGTGATTTCCAGTACAGGAGGATAGTCTTCTCAACCAGCTGGTCAATAATGAGATCAAAGAATCAGGGCTCCGACCCTCTTTCTGTGAGAATGACCATAAGATTTCTTTAGAGCCTCAGCCAGTCATTTCTTCTGAAAGTAACAAAGACCTTGCTCCCCTGAGTTTCACAGGGCATTTGCTTCAATTCTCAGCAAGCATTACAAGATTAATACTAAGGGTGTGAGGGAAAATAACACAATTTCAGGTAACAATTGGCAAGTTTAAACGCACACTGCATTCAGACAACAGGATGACATCTCACCAGCAGGCCAACAGGATATTCGAACTGTGGTTATTTTCCACATTTATCAAACCCTTGGGCACTGAAGCTTCTGAAGGGGGAAAAAAAGCACCTTGGATTATATTTATCACTTTAAAGAATTAACGATAATAGTCCTCAAAATCTCTGAAATTAAAAAAGTAATTTCATTGAGTATTTTCTAAAAACAAATTGTATTTTACATAAAATACAATTTACTTGTAATGACATTATATCTTTGTTCCAATTTATTGTTCATAGTTTCGTAAACCGAAACTTTAAAAGATTTAATTAATAATGGAGAACTGGACTCATTTCATTATTTTTATCTCTATAGCTATTCAATGATTTTCACAGACAGCATATTAATCTAATGTCCTTTTATTATATATGAAGGTAGGCATTTCTATTGCAGACATGCTTCAAGAATAGAAAACTAAAAATCAGAATATGCCAGGTTCACATATGTTCAGGGTCAAATCTGAAAGACATTTTGAAGATGACCTTGTCCAACCTATTGATTTGGAGAGTCATAAATGTATCTAAATAACTTATCCTGGTTACACAGAGTATTAGTGACACAGCTAGTATCTAGGCTCAAGGCTGTGGGACTACAGTCCAGAATTAATTGCTGTGTATTTTGTTGGTTGTTTCCATAAATCCAACCCCACCAAATGTCAAAAAAAAGCCATGAAAAAGAAAAATCAATCAATAATTTACATGATCATATTTAAGGCTGGGGTTTGGAAAGCAAACCGTAAACTCTCAGCCACATTTGGCATCCCACTTACCCTGTTGTTTTGTTACTGATCAAATGGCAATAACACACAGGGAGAAATATTCAAATGTTACTGACTGGGTCAACTCAACAAAAACCATTCAGTCTTTTACATAAGCAAATTAAACAGAGTTATGAGTAGAACTTTTCCCATTTTTTAAATGTCACTCAATCACCATCCTCAGAACAATCATAATTACCTTAAAAAATGATTTCACTTTTGTGGAGTAAACAGACTTTATGTATAGCTGTCCTCTCTCTGCCAAGCACAACTGAGGGTAGAAACATGGTGATGTTGAGGCAGTGTGCAACCTGTGATAAGACCAGTCTGGAGAGGACGAAGATTTCCTTCCCATATTTAAGATGGCCTTGCCAAGAATTTGTGATTCATCTTTAGCAACATTTGTCACTGCCTGTGGGAGACACTGGGGAGAGTTGTTCACAACTGTTACTGTAAGTGGACCCTGAAGGAGCAATTACATTAAGTGCTTCTTTACTGGGTACTTGCCTGTCATCTGGGTTCACAGAAAGGCCAATTCAGATTTCTAATCCAAATGTGTAGAAAAGGGTGTGGGCCCAAGCTGGGGAGGAAGGACAGCGGGACACATTCTCTGTCCCAGCTCACAGAAACCGGGTCAGGGCAAACCCAGAATCAGGTGCTCAGAATGTGTCCACACCTGGGGACTGGAGAAAGACTGTCAGGCAAGCAACTAGCTTTTCTGGACTGCTATCCATGGAAGACGAGGCATGGAGCAAATGTTTCCATGCTTCTCTGTATAAACCACCCTTACTAACAGAGCTGGCCTCTCCCTGTCCCTCATGAACAGCTTGGATCTTATCCCAACATGATCTCATTTCATCCAAATCCCACCCAGGTCTAACTCTATCTCCTCTACCAAGCCTTCCCTGACTCCCTGGAAGGAAAGGACTACTCTGTCTGCTGAGTCTCTGTCTCACTCAGGGGTTCCCCACCAGGCTCTGGAGGCAATAACATGGCTTCAGAGTCTTTCCAGACCTGAGGTAAGATCTCTGAAAGTTACTGGTCATGTGACTTTGGGTGAATCTCTTAACTTCTCCAGGACTCATTTATAGTAATGAAAAGCCTTACCTCCTTATCATAGTACCTAATACAGGAAAGGGGGTTGGCAATATTTTATTTCCCTTCTCCCAATTCAGGATCTATGTAGATATATGTTTTTTCTTCCATATTAGTCAGCAAGCAGAGAGCTGACTAAATATCTATGGGTTGATATTTAAAGGCACTTCAAACAGTTCTAATTTTACTAAGCAGCACTA